CACCGCATCCCGTCTGAGGTCGGTCTCTGCCCCCCACTGAAGCCGCTCCGACATCACCCATCCGGTGGAATTATTTCCCTTCCACCGCCACCATCCGGCGTCGCTGCTATCTCCGTGTCTCCGTTTCTACAGTCCACATCTCGGGCTGCGCGGTCTATGTTGGCGCAAACCGTCCCGCCCGCGCGGCGGTCCGCCGCACGTGCGTCGTGCCGGCTGCAGCCAGTTTCAGTGTGCGGGCGGGTGACTCATACTGCCCGCGCGGCCCGGGTCAGGGTCCCGCGGCGCACACGCGAGGTCAGCTGTCATTGACGTGGCAGTCTTATTAACACGGGTGTTCCCCGTGGTGACGGCTGTCACAGAGCCCTGTCACAGCTCTCTGGCAGCTGTCACAGACACACCCGCGGGGCGTGGGGTCGGGGGAGGACCGCCTGAACCCCTCCCCCTCCCCTCGGGGGGTATCGATCGGAGCAGGCACGTGCCCAGCGCGTGGCCGGCAGCTGCAGCCGGCGTGCTGGAAACCAACAGGCTGGATGAGGCAGGGAACAGCCGGTTCGGGCCCAGCCCGGCCCGGCCCCTATCGAACTACCCACAACATCCATGTTGGCTAACTGACGCAGATAAGGTGCAGGAGCGCTGACATTTTTGAGAAGTTGTTCGAGGAGGAAGGCAGCACTGCTGGCAAATAGATAGCTGCAGGTAGCTTACCTAGATCTATGGATCCAGGTCCAATACAAAGAAACGATCATGAACTTTTATAAGTAACAAACATTGTATAACATAATTGTTGATGAATAAAAAAGAGTTGATCGCGTGAAAAAACGAAAAAGTCTAGCAAAACCTTAGCAAAACCCAGTGCCATTTATAAACCACCGCGGCTCCGGTGTCCGTTGCCAATACCACGGCCAATACCAGAGTCGCTAATCGCTAATACCCAGCCAGTTGGCGGGCGTTGTTTTAGTTACCATGGCGACAGTCCAAGCACACATGGGCGGCGCCACCGGGGGGGACGGGGGGGACAGGTCCCCCGCTATCGAAAGTTAGGGGGGTACAGTACCCCCCTATCGGCGAGGCCCGTTCAATAGTTGATAATAATGCATTATAGAGCTATCCGTGGCATTTAATGCATCGTTGGTTAATCAAGGCAGGTTCTGAATAAAGATTGCTGTTGGGATGCATCGCAGGGGTCCTGGCCATCTGCAAAAGGTGTGGAGCTGTGATGTCTGTAGTTATAAGGTGATCGGCAGGGCCTCGGGGATCGTGCCCCCTTTTTGGGGCGCCAGGCAGGGTTATTACTTATTACCTCCCCACCCCACTGCCAGACCCCATTGCCGATAAAACCAAGCTGAAATTCCATTGATTTCCGTTACTAATGAAAATTTTCCATTCCTAATGAGTCAAATTCAAGCATGGCAGTTCTACCACAGGAACCATTTGAAATCTATGCCATTTAACCCCAGCACTTGTGGGGAGAAGTGTTCGGATAGATCACAGGCAGGACCAAAAAAGCACGCAGTAGCCCAAGACCTTATAATTGGATATAGCATCGGCTCCCTCTCGTCAAGGGGTTCGATAGCACTCGTTTTTTTTTCTGCAAAACTAAGTTCGGTCGGCGGCCGAACGGCTGGGGGTCTAATCGAGCCCCCCATCCCTCCCCTTCTTACGTCAGCGGCTGTGAAAATGCCATTACCAGCTGTTGAAACATGGCAGTTGCTTTTGCATGAGTGCACGAAAGGGTTTTAGGTCCGTGATACGTGAAAGGTTCTACATGAAAATTGAGATACACCAGCTTATCAAATTGTGCTCACTGTGGTGCGCTCGGTTTTACCTTGACTAGTCTTTGAATTCTGGGGTGAAACAGACCAGTCAAGAAACCTGTTCCATAAGGAGAGCCACTAATGCTTAAGAGATGTGGGATGAGGTTTCCAGAGACCTTCATTACCTCCCAAAGGGGGTGCCCCGCCATTTGCCAATCCCTGCTGTAGTTGTTACGATTGGAGGGTGAATATGAGAACGATGCAGGTCGTGCCAGCTCGATCATGACGAACACAATGGTGCCGACATCACAGCTCTACTGCCATTTTTGACGAAGTTAATCAACAAGGACCGGAATCCTACCCTGGGGCATTTCACCTGCAGAGGTCGCCGGACCTGAGACCCTTTCACTCAATTTTTTCAACGGTGCATGCGCTCGTTTTTCCCGCGAAGCTCTTGGCAAGTAAAATCCATCAGAAAGTGTGATCTAATAACGGTTGGTGACCTTCCATGACCTAGCATGGCCTTTTGAGTGACCACCGATGACATGACCACTGACGGCTAGCCATTAGCTGCACCCTGCCCGTTGCATATGGATCAGGTGGTGATGTCATGATTCTGAAATTATATTGCAGTTTTGGCGCACTTGTCAGAGCAGAAGACATTCCCACTTTTCCTCCATGACTATGTATATGATGGTGAAGCCCTGAAGCTGACCAGACGTAAGATCGAAAATTTGAAAGTACGAAATGTAAGAATAGCTGGCACTGCTACTTATGCCTAAGCAATTCGCAGCTTGTAGGAAACCAGCTTTGAGTTGGCAAGACTGCAAATTTTGATTTAGAGGCAAGGATGCTTGAAAAGGTGATCGATCTTAGGTGTCCTAGGATAAGTTTGGAAACGGGATGCACCATTCGATGTGTTTTGGGCCTTGCCAAGTTTCGCGGCGTTACGTGCCTCGTTTTTTTTTTTTTGCATACGATCAGTATCTACTTTTGGGATTTTCGATTTTCGGTCCCCGTCCCCCCCTATCGAAAACCCGTGGCGCCGCCCCTGCAAGCACATACATTGAACTCGTGACAGGGTGTCATCAGAAGCGCCGGAGAAAAACATCAGACGGAGACGATCCAACAGGTCAGCCTGCCAACGAACACCCCTACCCAGGTCCCCGACCCACGGGCCAGCATAGAACTGAGCTCGAGACAAACTGCAGCAAGGCTGGCCCGATCTGACGCCCGATCGGAAGAAGGTATAGAGAAGGTACACAACGAAATATATGAAATAAAACTCCCGTTCGGATCACTTGCGAACGAGCACAAACACATGATCAAAACATGATTTACGCCTTCAAAAACAGCATCAAACATAAAAAACACTTAACAGTACACTACTCGCCAAGCCATTGCTGATCCAATCCTCTAGAAAAAACTGTATTACGCAGCTAATGAATCAAAGTACCTCAATGGAAGCATCATCTTCAATGTTTGTAAGATTTAATAAAATTCAGCAAAACATGTTTCCTACAACCAAAGATAACTTCACATGTTTTCAAAATATTATTCGACCAGCACCTATCCGCCACGTTACATTGCGAAGTGTCGCTCAATTTCAGCCACGTCTCAGTCCCAGCGCTTCAGACCGTACAGTGCGGCCATACATAGCTGGTCGCCGTTAGCTTGATGCAGCCACAGGAGTTATCGTTAACAGTAAACACTCCAGTTCTATCAGTGCCCCCCCCCCGGTCCCCCTCCTGCAGCATCTGCCTGCCACGCTGCGCTCACGTGAGGGGGATGGGCAGCGGTAAAAGTCAATATCCTGAGTTCAAAACGGACGATATGGAATAGCCGAACAACTTCAACTTCGAGACGAACAACTTCAACTTCAACTTAAACACCACAGTGAGGGAGTTAACCTCAGCCGTCTGCTAACCGTTCATACTGGCTGCAACCGCAGTTCAGCAGGTGTGCCTCTGTTTCAATAGTGGGTTCAACGGGTACAAAGACGAGCTATAGCGCAGGCTGGCACGGCGCCGACCACGCGGAGCCTCCTCCCTCCCTCCCGTTCCCAGATTGCCATCATCTGACCCAATGACCCAGAGTCGGCAGAGGCGCAATGGGTTACACTGATCCCAAAAATCGCGAGTGGGTCATATCGGCAACACTGAGTCAGAAGACGAAGGCGCACGAGACTGTGGTGACACTGATCAGAACTGCTACGCTTTCCTTCACGATAACATCACCTCCAGCTGGCCAATAGCATTGAGCCATTCAAATAAGGCAGCACGAGCAGGCGCTCAGCACTAGACGACCTCTAACGCACCCTAGCACGCCACGCTAATACCAGTTTCCCTGAACCGGGGGGTTCCCCGTCCATCCCTGAGCCGATCATTGATCAGTGATCAGAGGCCGTAGTATTCCAGTAAAATGGCGACGAAAGAAACCGGCTACACAATACATTTACCGGGATTCCCTGGTCATCCAGTGTGGAGAGAGCGCTCCCAGTCACGGCGAGGTGCTGAGGCCTCTTGCACCAAAATCCTCTTGCACCAATGCTTGGATTATTTTGCATCGTATACCCAGTCCAACTCTCAAATGTAACAATTTGCGTGCAAAATTTAGCAATCACATGTAGGATTATGTATTGGGCTATTGCAAACAAATTTACCACCGTTAGATTAGCTTATTCTGAAACAGGTTTTTCGATTTTACCGTCCAGTACCACTCGCGGGTCCGGTGTTATGTGAGCGGAGTGCACTGCTATAGATGCAGCGAAATCCCCCGACGGAAGAGTTCGGAGTTCGGACTTCGGTGTGTGACGCCTGTTTATCAGACCCAGCCTTCCCCGGTTTGATTAAAGAATAGCTTTTTATGGTACCTATTCATTATTTAGTATCCGAATGGTATGGTCTCAGCTCAGTGGTATATAAAGGTCCTTCGTTGGTGTATTAATACGAGTCTAGAGAAATTATGCACAATGGTTGACTCATTAAAAACTGCTCCACATTCACTAGTAAGTAATTCTCCTGCAGTCATCAATGAGTCACCGGAGGCCCCCGCGCCCCACTTTTTCATTCGTGCCCTATCGAGCCCCAATAGTGACCCCGCGGCCCCCAGAAATGTCCCCCACGGTTCCCAGAGGTGACTCACAGTCCCCAGCGGTGCCCCTACTAGCTCCCCCTGCGGTCTCCCTTCTGTCCCCTTGACCTCCTGAGGCCCTCTCCGTGCCAGCAGCGCGACTACAGTACTCACCACGAGGTGGGCCTCGTCGTTGCTCTTGCCAGTGTACATGATGGTAGCGGGCGTGAGCCGGACAGTCGGCTGCCGGCAGAGGGGTCAGGTCGGAGGTCACACTCACATGGCAGGCAGGTCAGGTCACAGGTCAGTGTAACACCGCGCAGATACCGAGACTAAAGCAATCAACACGCCAAGAAGCAAATGGGATTTTTGTAACTCGTGAAGATGCGTGGCGGTCTGAGTGGTATACTCGTACAGCCTGTGACACCCCAATCCGCTCTGACCTGACCTGACGGTATAACCGCCAAGTCGTCACTCTACTGGCCCCCGGCAGACGCTCCACACGTCACACACCACCATGTTTATTTATGCTTGCGGTGGCTGGGTACATCAGTGGCGGGACGACGGATCACGGAGGTCAACTGCACCGTGTGCAGAAGGCAAGGATAAACAACGAACGTTCTGGCGCGGCCGCGATAGCTCATTTTAGTCACCCCGCGGACGGCTTCTAACCCTCGGAAGATTGACTTATCGTCAGGAACGCACCACGGTTGTATAAATACTAGCAACTTCAGCTAGTAGATAGCTGAAGGAATTAATAGAAATGAGGAAATAATGGGGCATAGCGCAGGCTTTGTGGCGTTAGGAAAACACTCTTATTTGATTATACTTTGAGCATGATAATAGCTGACGGATGTAAAAGCTGTCCGGTGTTTATGAAAAACAGCCATTATATAGCATCAATTCAGGTAATGAACCTTAACACACCAACCAAGGACAAAACTGCAAGAGCAATGCTGATATACATTATACATAATGAGCTGTGTCTAAAACACAATGATGCAAACAACGACGAGGTTAGACTCCTTAATTAAGCAAGGGTGTGAAACCACCACAAGACCAAGGTTTTCTTGCTTTGATGTTGTCCTGTCAAATTATTCCATTATCTGCCTATCGGAACCGGCGAACACAGAATCAGACATGTAAGCAAAAGCTATCGTATATCGCCAGAGGGTATCCACCAAAGCAGGGTCTGCACTCTGCTGTTCTCTTCCTGGTTCGCAAGTTTTCACATCAAGACAGGAAGAGATTTAGCAGGCTGACGCAAAGGCAGTGCCGACATGGCCGTCCAAACAAGATAAACAATGTTAACTTTGAATACCGACAGCTAAAAGCAACTAGACCATGCACGAGTTCGTCGTCAAAATACATACACAGGCGACAGGGGCACCGTCTTACCACCAGCCTTCGCCATTGCGGACGGGTGACGGCGGATGATAGCCAGACGACAGGGTAGGTTGGGCCACCGGGCGACCTTCCCAGCGGGAGCAGGGGGGGGGGGGAGAGGAGGGGTTACAGGAAGAGAGGACCAAGGACAATCCCTTGGAGGACTTGGGACCCCCCCCCAGGGACACCGTGGGGGATCGGGAGAGGGATGAGGAGAAGGGTAGGTGCACCCGGAAAACCGCAGTGAACGGAAGAGACGGTTACGTGTGTACATGTGTTTACCGACACCTGCATGATAAGTGAAACCCAACATTACGTGTCTTGGAAATCCGAATAATTTCCGTCGTATATAAACATGAGTCATGATTGTCAGAACAAGGACGAATGGATTTTTCCTACCTTCAATCTAAATCAAAAAGCAGAGTAAAAATTATCAGTATATCATATTTCTATTAATGAATGACTACAGCCATTATTTAGCATGAAGCACATTGAATCAATGTGGATAGATCAGAACACGGATCAGTATTCAGTAGTTAAATCATAAGACTGTTGCTGTAAACGCTGGCCTTAGCTATACTCTACCTATCGGCGTGGGTTATTTACGTTTTGAGTGTGTCGGTAGATATATTCGATGTGCCAGAATCCCACGAAAATTAAAGCCAGGGCGACCATGGCAAAATTATGCGTGTTACAATCACTATAAAAGAAATGTATCAAAACTATTGATCGAGCATTGCAAACCGTAGAACAAAATCCGCAAAATCCATGCAAGATCGTAATTGCTGATTTCGTCATATGTTCCACTTGCCTGAGCAAGTAAGCACACTATTAGGTATCATCAGTTTTGTCTGTCTAAGCCAACAAAGGTATCCATCACCTCGCGAGGCAGTGCGAACAAGACACCGGCTACCTTCCACGATAATATTCGCCCGGAATCACGGAGAAGGGAAGTCCAGTGGGAAGAACCGCACACCGTAGACATGAGGTAAGACTTAAATCACCTCTGATGTCATGCGAAGCTTTGCAGTCTCAGTCCCCAGAAGATCACTACCTAACAAATCCAGGGATAAATTTTGAAATGTCCACATGGCTGAAAATCGCCATTGAAAACCCAAGGTAGGTAGGTGAGTCACCATATTTCACGGCCATATGTGACAATGCACTAGGCTTGGCTTTCCCTAAGTCAGCAGCGTTTGAGCCCGCTGGACTAACAGCAGTCAGCGCACGGTCGTGTGAGTGAAACCGCAGACAAATCCCCGTTACAACAACTGTTTCCGTTTAAGTACAATGCCCTAAATAAATACACAAAGTGCAATAAATATCGTTCAATGCGGTAAATGATAAAGATTTAGGAGCAACGGAGACCACTTTGTTACCAGGATAACGGATAACACTATACCAGGATAACGCAGACCAAACACACGACAAAACTGGCGGAAATTCGTAGGGGAAAACCTCCCGCGGTCAGTGGCCACGGTAAGAACTAGCCGACAACCGCAAGCAATATGGCCCGGTAGCTTAATATCCCAGTGTCCGGGTAAACCAGGGTTCCGCACCCGGACTCCAAACGGGGCCGGGTCCGTGGGAGCGGCGGTGTGATCAGGACCCGGGGATCCCGGCTCGCCACACTGGTGGATCCCATCGGAGACACAGCGCTGGGAGGGAGTGGGGTCAACCCATCGGTCTCCGAATGGTGGGATGGGGCGGTCGGTCAGGAGACGATAATGGAGTGGACATTGAAGACCAGTAGTGAACAGCAGCGGAAGGCCAAAACGGCAACGAGAGAAAAGAATGCAGTAGGGCTTTCCTTCTGGAAATTTACTTACTCACACCGTTCCCCTTGGGCCTGGCCTGGCCGTGTCAAACCACAGCCAACCAATGCAAATTGCAAGTAACCACGCTTGGTATAAGCATAAGGGCATCATGCTCCTCTAGAGGAATTCTATTTTAGAGGAATTGTTATCAGTATAGAGGAATTGATATCTGGTGTTAATTCCTCTAACCGGGTCCGGCACCCGTCCGCGCGCGTCTCCGCCACGAGATGCGCTATCCCGTCGTCACGGTCTCACCCCGGCCTCTGGCCGAAGGCGCGGGGGACTCCGACCAGCCCATGTCGTGCAGATGGGCTTACCGACAGCGCGAGGGGAAACGACGGTAATGCATGGCCGGGCGCATCAGAGGCGGATCCTCGACGGAGGAGCTATTTCGGGACTGGACGTCAGGCGCGTCATTAGCAGTAATCATATGTCGCTGAGAGCTGTTTTAATCAACACGAGCCCCCAGCGGCAGCGTGACATCAAACTACAGCTTTTTTCTTGATGATAGGCATGAATATAGCATAATCCTATAAAATCTCTGTGAATCTATTACATTAAACAATGGCATAAGAGTCAAAACTGCGGGGATGACTAAACATACAGAAAAGGTTAAAAAAAAAAAACGTGAACATGCAAATAAGTGTGGACATATGACGGAAAGAAGGCGCATGAATTACGTATAAGCACACCAAGCAGATGGGGTAGGTAGTTTCCAAACTGGATACCTACTCAACAATTACAATTAATACATTTTCCCTTTTTTCATCAGCCCATTCAAATGACACAAAATATAGATTACACCACTATACCCATCGGCAGATATGGAAGCGTCCTGAGAGGGCATAATCTATCTTACTATTTGAACAGGATCCATCTGTCTGTCTGTCTGTTTGTCCGCCACGCCGTGTAGTGGGTTCAATTTAGCCGGCCTACAGGGCAGACGGTATATCGTAGGGGGTTGAAATTTGCACACCTTATAGGTGACAGAGCGGGTCAGCGCCTTTTCTAGGTTCCGACTCGCTGGGGTGCACGGTTCGCGCGTGGGGCGCGCTGGAAGAACGCCAATGAAATTTTGATCGGTTCGTAGATCTTCATTGAGAGCCGGGGTCGACAAACTTTGTGGACTAAATGCATGCCGATCGGCGGCGAGTGCCTCGCATTGGCGGATCGGCAAGTTATTAATTTGAATAAAAAGTGGCGAAAAAATGTGTTGATTTTCGTTCAATGGAAACAGTTTGTGATACGAGTATACAAATGCACCGTGTTTGCCGCAATGCGCCACTTTGATGACAAGGCGCCATTTTTGCCGCAAATCGCATAGTTTTGTCAAATATGACCCGATAAGGGTACAATTTGGTGCAAGGGTGCATGCTCAAACAACAGGTACAGATGCGCCGCATTTGCCGCAATGCGCCACATTTGCCACAAAGCGCCATTTCCGACAAAATCGAGTAAAAGCAATGGAATGGCACGAATTATTCTGTGACCTGACATGACCCAGCGGTGTTGGTAGGGGTAGGGGTAGGGGTAGGGGTAGGGGTAGGGGTAGGGGTAGGGGTAGTGTAGTGGTAGGGGTAGGGGTAGTGGTAGGAGTAGTAGTAGGGGTAGGGGTAGTGGTAGGGGTAGTAGTAGGGGTAGTGGTAGGGGTAGTGGTAGGGGTAGTGGTAGGGGTAGGAGTATGGGTAGTAGTAGTGGTAGGGGTAGGGGTAGATGTAGTGGTAGGGGTAGGGGTAGTGGTAGGGGTAGTGGTAGGGGTAGGGGTAGTGGTAGGGGTAGTGGTAGGGGTAGTGGTAGGGGTAGGGGTAGTGGTAGGGTAGTGGTGGAGGCAAAAGCAGAACAGTGGCCCGGGCTGATCCCAGCGGACGAGAGGTGACCATGTGACCTGGCTTGACCCAAAGCGACCGGGGCTGACCCCTTTGACCCGTCTTGACCCCGTATCACCCAAATTTCATCCAACAACGCCCTCAGAACAGTTCTTTTTTTAAAGTCTCTTCACATTTCCGTCCATATCTATGCTTCTAGACGACACATCGACAT